TTTTGGCGCATGTCACAAAAGTAGACCAAAAAGAAAAAAAAGAAAAAAAAAGTCACTGTTGTTACAAATTACTGTCACATTCCAGTCACAATCACTGGATGGTTTTTGGAACCTCACAAAACCACATACTGTGCAGCAACAAACACAATGAGACATTTGTTTTGTATTGTGCCACTTGGCAACTTGCCCTCACACCCTTGCTTAAATATTTGTAAGATGGAATACGATCCTAAGTATGACATTGGGAGCCAGAGCTGCTGCTGCTTTGACTGCCGGATATGCTGTGGTGCCTGAAGAGGCTCTCCAGTGATGTGCTTCGTTCAGGCCACATGCTCTTCACTAAACTCACTGGATTGAATTGATGCAAGATGGGAAATCCAGTTAGCTGGTGGGCTGGCTTGGACTTGCAATTTTCATTTTCCTCAACCCAAGAGACTGAGGTTCTAGTTCTATAATCACCCACCATTACTTACTTTGTCACCATAATCATCCATTAACACTTAATACCTCACCTTGACAAAGAATTTCCACACAGTTATCGCACTGGAACCCAATAGTTACTCTCTTGGATAGAGATTGGCTTGTCTTCATATTACAAACAATGCCCCCCAAGTTCAAAGTGTTGAGTAGCTTACCAAGAGCCACACACGTAATGCCCGCCCACCGGACAGCTTGCTCGCATTCTGAGTCACTATGAAGCTGGGTCACTCTGTGTTTCCACCTTCTGCAGTCTCCAACCCATGCCCTGCAATCAGCCAGCAAGCTGAGTTGTGGCTCCTCACCCAGGCTGAACTACTCAAGCCTCTTGGAAACTTTGATCTCCTTTTCATTCCTTACTACCCACTTCCTAAAGGTAAGCTCAAGTTTCACATTTCAAGGAACTCTCTGTCCTGGCTACAACTCAGTGATTTTCTAAGCACCAGAAAGCCTAGCATCCCTTAGTATAGCTCAGGTAACACTACAGGCCAGGCACTCCCTTCTTCTGCTACTGGGTCACTTGCCTCAAGAAAGATGGATGCTAATCAGTTATGTCTGGCAGGGCACGGGGGGTGGGGGAAGTCGGTTGGTAAGCATACCATGCCTTCCAGTGGGTTTCTTGTGAGTGCTGATATTAGGAAGACAATCTCAATGTATTATTTCAAAGAGATCACCATTCACTGCTTTCCTATCCATCCTCCAATAACTTCCCTAAACTCTTGATAGAACTAAGCCTTAGGCCAAATGGGTAGAAACTGGCCTACCTATTTGACTACAAATAAAAACCATCCAATGAAATTTGTAACTTCTTAATAAAGCATAGTAAAAAATACTGGGGTTCACATGGAACATAAAGGTTCTCAAATTGTGAGCGAAATCCCATTCCTTGGTTTGCCATCTGTACAACAGACAGGGGAGTCTGTGGTGCAGACCTGGAACTATTCAATCTGGGAATGAAGTCTAAAAAGACATCCTAATGCATAGCATGAAGGGGGCATTGTTCTACAGATGGTGACCAGTAGGTCCTATCTTAGGAGGCTGGAGAACAAGGACAGAAGCTTAAGAGTAAAATTAAACCATGAAAAGGAAAAGGACTGAGTGGCCACCAGGGCTACATTGCAACATAGTGAAATCAGCAAAGCTAACCAGGATGCTGTCAGAGGCCCATGGCCAAAAGGAAACCCTGTAGTGCCTAAAATAAATCAAATTATGGAAAATAACAAGTTTTGTTTTTAAAACATATCAAGGAAAGAACAGTTCATTTAGATCTTCAGTTTATTTCCATGACACCTCATAATTTTGATGGTGATAGGTATTAGATGATCTGGTTAAAGGCAAAAGTAACAACTGTGTTCTAGTTAAAATACCTGAGCCTGAGCATCCTTTAAATCTACCTACTTGAAAAGTATTTAACACAATAAATCCTAGAGAGAACACTAAAAGGCCCTTGGAAAAATTGTCTTACATTAAAAATCAGTGATTTTATTATTTTTAAATCAAATTGGACATGTCTAATCACTTCCACTACAATATTTATTTCTTACCCCAGAAATACTATTTGGGTACATACTTTTTTGGTCATTAGGTAG